TGAAATAATAATAATAATAATGATAATAATAAAGATATCTTTATCTATATTTTGTTTTAAGAATTCAATAAAATCATAAGTCATTGTGTATTTTAACCAAAATAAAGTATTAATTATTAAATAACAATTATTCGGAATTGACCTTACCTTCAAAATAAACTTCATTTTCAGACAGAGGTATTACAAATGTGAATAATCTCAATGTAACAGATAAAGAAAATGCTTTGAATTTTCTTCAAGAGGAAAGTTAATTAATCATAAGGGACTCATTGCAGCTTTCATAGTTTTCAATAGGAACATTCTCAGCAGTTATCTCTCTTTGCCCTGGCATTCATTCTAATCTACCCCACCACCCTCGCTCCAAACTGGATGACAAAGAGAACCAAACTTAGCATCAAAATATGTCTTATTGCCTATTCAACCAAAATATTTAAATTAATTTAAACGTAATTGGTCAACCATTAAAAAAGTTATTAGGAAAAAAAAGAAAATTTGTGGACGGAAGAATGACAGACGGACAGACATACAGACTGATTACTATACGGCACCCGCAATTCCTTACGGGGCCCTGATTACCATACCTATACTGGATTCCAAAACTCCATAAAAATCCTTACAAACAAAGATAGATAGCGGGTTCCAGTTTTTTTCTACCAAGCCTCTTTCTTTAGTCCTCACTAAAATATTTACAGCAGTGAAGGAGAAACTTCAGTTGAACTGTACAACAGTATATTTGAAAAGTTGTGTAATTCAGATGAGGGTTCTTAAAATCTCCAAGGAACTTTTAGAAAATTTGAAACCACAAAATTTTAACAAAATCAATAACATTAAAACGTACGACTTTTCAACACTTTATACAACCATTCCCCAAGATACATTAAAGTCCATGCTTTTTGACATCATAAACAGCTGCCTTTTCAATGAAAATGGAACTCGTAAATATATTCACCTTGTCATTGGTCATTTACAAATAATTTTTGTTAAAAAAACATTCTGAATTATACACAAGTACTCTGAAGTTGATATTAAAAATTGGTTGAGTTTCTGATTGACAATATCTATGTAGTTTTTGGAGACCAGGTCTTCCAACAATCTGTTGGAGTTCCCACGGGCATCAATTGTGCCCCCTTATTAGCAAACCTATTTTTGTATTCAAATGAAGCAGAATTTCTTCAAAAACTTCTACATGAGAAGAAGAAAACACTTGATGTGGCCTTCAACTGGACATTTAGATATATCGACGACGTATTATCAATTAACAAAAGTTACTTCCATTCATATGTCGACTCGATATATCTTACTGAGCTTGAAATAAAAGACACATCTGTTTCGTATTTGGGCATCAATTGTGCCCCCTTATTAGCAAACCTATTTTTGTATTCAAATGAAGCAGAATTTCTTCAAAAACTTCTACATGAGAAGAAGAAAACACTTGATGTGGCCTTCAACTGGACATTTAGATATATCGACGACGTATTATCAATTAACAAAAGTTACTTCCATTCATATGTCGACTCGATATATCTTACTGAGCTTGAAATAAAAGACACATCTGTTTCGTATTTGGATATTTTCCTAGAAAAAGACTTTAATGGTAACCTAACAACAAAGCTTTATGATAAACGCTAATTTTTCAATCGTCAACTCCCCTTACTTACTTAGCAATATACCCTTATCACCTGCATATGAGGTTTTTGTCTCCCAGTTGATTCGATACGCAAGAACATGCTCTACTATGAACAATTTCTCAAACGAAGCAATTTATTGACAAACAAGGTGATGAAACAAAGATATCAACAGTCTCGTTTGAAGTCAACATATCGCAAGTTCTTTGGTCGATACAATGGCCTTGTCAGGAAATGCAATCTCTCATTAAGTCGAATGCTGGCTGAAGTTGTTCATACTAATTGTTTGGCCATTATTATAACACTGTATTGTCTACGATTTTTCCGTTTGCCCGATCATGACAATGAGCACACGACGGGTGTGACCGGGTCGACAAGGTATGCTGACTCCTACATGGCACCTGATCCGACCTCTGATGTTTTTAGAGACTTTGAGCTTGATTACTGTTCGTCATCTTTATATTTCATAAGATACCGATTACGTTTGATCCACGTTTGATCCATTAACATTCAAACATGTAGCTGGTATATCCGACTGAACTGGAGAAAAATGAAACCATTAATAACTGTTAACAAATTTATAAAAACTTTCACAGCCCTTCTTCCCTTCTAGTACGTAATCCACCATTTGCTTTCTGATATTAATATGTATTTATATACTAAAGGCATATTTGTTGGATTTGAACTTCTCTACTTTTATTTTGATTTATATTTTTCTCACTTTGTTTTTCTTTTTATTCATTGTGTTACTTTTGTGTGCACTTTTCAGATCGGGATTACTATATTGGGGTATGTGACCTTGTCCAAGACGAAAGTGGGAATAAATTCCTTCCACATCTGAAGTCATATCTGTCAATTCCTTCCAATCACGGGAGCCTGATGGTCAAACAGGGGAAAACTATGTCATTATTTCACATCAATTTTACGGAAAATGGGCAGACGTAGACTGTAACAGACAATTTATGTTTGTCTGCGAAAGAGAAAGTGAGTATGTTTCAAGAACAGACTACTGTATGTTTTAATCAATGTAAAAAATCTTATTGTTTTAGGTTTTGTTTCTTTTCAGCAAAGGTTGTGCGTTCTTCAAGAAGGAAATTATTAGGAAATGGTAAAAATAAGGTAGAGTAAAAGAATAATAATGTTAAAAAAAATCTTTTTCTGATGAGTCAATAGATGGGAAAGAACTCTGAAAAAGTATGTAGTTATTTTCATATTTGTTCAAATTGTGGCCCCATGGGCCAAATAAAAAAAAACAGATAGAGGGTAAAAATTTCAAATTTCAAAAAGGAAAACCATTCATGATGAAAAAGAAATGTACGGACAAACAAATGATGATTTTTTTCCCAAAAATATTTTTTTTTTTTTTAGAGGAAATGCAATTGTTCCCAACGCAACCCTTTTTCTGACGGCCTTGCTTTCTGGGCTAAAATATAGGGATGCTTCTTTGAAGTAAATCAAACTAATGTATGCACATGACCAATTTTTACAATCAATTTTAAATAAATAGCTTTGCTGTGAGAAAGGTACATGTATCAAACTCCAGCATCTGACCAAAAGACTGTAGTATGGCTAAAGAAGTAACATTTGTCTTGGAATGGCAATCATCCAACAAAACAACCTGAAAGGAAGGTATGTGATTTTTTTGTATATGCTTTACATTATAGATATCAGCAACACAACTGAACATATTATGTCTACATGACCTAAATGTTCTAGTAATTCGCCTCTCTCTCTCTCTCTGAATTTCGCACAGTTATTTTTTTTTAAGCCTTTTGATTTTAACATGGCCTATTTAGTTTTTTTAATTCATTTTATATAGATTTTTTTATTGTTTTATAATTTTTGGAAGGAGCTATCTTTCCCCTTATTTATTTTCTCAATTATTGACGTAGTCTAATTTAGACCTAATGTTCAGCAACATCCCGTTTTAGCTATTTTTAAAACAGTAACTTATGTAACCGGTTTTGCTACATGTATTAACAAACTCAGATGCAGATTTTGATTATTATAACAATATACATATTAAGATGGGAAAAATTATCTTAATCCCGATGAAAGGCAATGAAATTACTGAAATTAAAGACTTTAGCGCCATTGTATCTAAAATCAACGATGAAATCCCGTACTTTGCCAAACAGCTTTATCAATCAGATAAAATAACCCTAAACCTTGACCATTTTAATAATTATACTGAAGCTTATTGAAAACTAATTAATATTTAACGATTCAGTCTCTGTCATTCGAGGTACTCTTGAAACGAAAACGACTGACAATCTACAACATGTAAACTCTCTCCTTCGATCATATAATTTCGTGCTCTCGCTCCTCCGTCTTTTCTCTTGTGCCATTTCATTCCCTAGCCTCTGACATTCTTAAAACACTTGCAATCTACAACATATAGTTGGCAATAAGCAGAAAGGAATTATATTAGATATTGGTCTATTGGTCACGATTTGAGCTACTAAGTAACTAGTAATTACTTTGTAAATGACTTGAATTAAATATAATCAAGGCATACTTTTTTTTTGCTCTTACTCCCATAAGATTCTGCAATGAATAGGTCAACTCGCTCTTTCCCTTCTGCTAATAAGCGACAACGTAAGGGTGACAAGTGTGATAACAACAGAGGGCGGAAATGTATCGCCATAACGCGATAGAGGCGTCACAAAGAAAAGAGAAACCGAGGGCAATATTGAGCGAGAGTGACAAAGCAAGGGAATGAGATAGCACACTAGAACAGATGGAGGATCGCCAGAGCAAAATTGCATGGCCGAAGGAGCTAGTTTACTATCACTCTTGCATCTACAATCCCTTGCGTTTTTTGGCTCCCTCTTCTTTGCATTCTAACTCAGAAGTTTTTTTCAAGTTCTAAGTTTAGTCACCAGGAATATTCTTTACCTTTCCATTACTAAGTATTCTTATTTTCATGTATGGAACTTGGAAGAAAATATAACTGAGAACGCATTACTAAGGTGACGATGAATATATTTTATTATTTTTTATAAGTGTATTCACTTGGTTTGGGAAGTGGCATTTGTGTCGTAATGAAAGTCCAGTTTGAAATTAGTTCAACATGTTAAAAAAACTATCTTCCTTATAATTCTACATGTAAATTGATGATCTAGTGGTATAATCATTTTTAAGACCTGCTGTCATGCTTTTTACTATCTTTTAATAGATCATAAATCCATCAATACAAACTCCGAAGAAAATAAAGAAAAAAACATCTACTATAAAAACAAATAATTCGAAAAATTCCTGATAAAATTAAAAAGTTAATTTCAACCATAAATGCTCCATCTTAAACTATTTTCAAATCCCTGTGACAGTAAAGACTTAATTATATGACATATAAAATAAAAACACAAGAAATAATTCATTTCCATTTTTCCTTTGTTGTATTTTGGGTAAGACGGTCACAAAGTAATCTTCAACCAATTATACTCCCTGGCTCAGATCTTCGACGAAAAGAAATAAAAGAATTAAAAAATAATAATAAAATTATACTGTTTCATGAAATTAGAATATATTTACGTTATTTTTTTTTTATTCTATCATAATTATAAAATGCTAGAATCAATCTCAATACTCTGAGAATTATGCGTTTCCGTTTCTGGTGTATCTAAACATATCCTACAGATTATCAGCTTCACATATGAAGTGAAGAGGCGCTGAACATGTATGATCCGCCCACTGTCCATGAAAATCTCTCCAGAGAGCCACACAGTTCTGTGCAGTGTGAGAATTGGGTTCCCCGGGACCAAAATCGGTCTCTTTGACGATCTCTTGTGTAGATGAATACTCCCATATGTTTTCCTCTATAATGTCTGATATTCCAATCCAGAAGTGGGCATCTTTGTAAATAAATACATGTAATCTGATATCGGCATTCTGGTTCCCCATGTTAATTTGAAGAAAAAGAAGTTTGAAGCTTACATTACAAAAATTCAAAAAATAGATCTAATTCAGACTCTACATGGAAGACAATACGTATGCTCAATCGATAAATAACTGACAAATCAACATGTGCATGCAAAGAAAAATGCTTGTGTTATTATCTGTTGCACTTGGAGCAGCATTTCAAAGAATCATATACATTGTTTCTAATTGCGGATTACTACAGAGCATGAAACTATATTCTCTTGAAAGTTACTCAAGGCCTGGCTGTGGCTTTTCAGATAGTTAGAGTCAGCTTGGGTTCTGGGTTCGGCTAGTTTAGAATGGAACTGTGCACATGCCCCCTGAAAGGAAGATAAAGAATAAAACTTTGACATTTATCACATTACTTCTATTTTCATCCCAAAAAAAACAAATCTGTTAATACTGACCATGAATAATAGGTCTAATTGTAAATAAAGTAAGGTTATTATTCTGAAGTAATTCTTTATATACAGGACAATATCTGTAATAGTCGTGTTCGACAAATAAAAAAAATTGTTGATTGTTGCTTTTAATCTTCAAGTAACTTTTATTTGGTATGAAAATATCTCCCTTTCCTCTCCTTAAAATGACTACAGAATAATGAACTAAGGTAACATTTTTAAACAATCAAAGGCCTAAATCAATTTTCTGAAGTAAATTAATAGTTATGGACCAAAATTTTGAATTTTTATCAAATAAATATAATTTTACAAACTAAAATCTTGTTAGCTTTTGAAAGCTTCAAAGAGCAGATTTGAGCAAAAAATCAGTGAAAACTGCTTTACTCTCTTAAAAAAATGTTTTTGTATCATTTTGTATCTTTATATGACTACCTTGACATATGTGAAAATTAGAAAAATTTAAATATACTAATTATATAAAAATAACTAATGAATTCTTTAAAAAGAAGAGATTGAGGAAATTCGGGTTAGCCAACATATATTTTAGTTAAATCATTTATTTTAATTTGGTAGCATCATCTGACAGACCCTATGTGGTATCTTTTCATGCAAAAGGAAAATCATTCAACCTTTTGAAAAAGAATGAGCCATTACATGATTGGAAAGAATAATTTTTTATTCTTAATGTCAAGGAAAAAGAAAATGATTTTGACTTGACGTTGCTCCTTAGTAATATTGTCTTTTTTAATCGTTGAAAAATTCATTAATTTCAAAATACAATAAATATTAGAATAATTCGTCTTTCATAATAAATACACACATACACACACATCCTCACTTGCCCATTACTACAACTTGACACCAGAAACATATATCAAATAAAATTTCGTTACTATGTGTCTTGGTTGCCATGGTAACAGCCGGAAAAGTTGAAAAAATTGAGATTTTCAACTACTTTGAATCTTTATTATGCCGTAATAAAGACTTACAAAAACAAACAAACCATTCTCCCAAAAACATGACACCTTGTTGCCACTTATGCTAAAAAGAAACTATTTAGAATTTATCTCTTAGTAAGTGGTAACCATGGGTACATTTGGAATACATTTTAGATGCTGAAAATGCTGAAAAACGCTCAATATTCACAAATGATAGATATTACATGATCAAACTCAATCAACAACCTAAGAAAAACAATAAAAAATATTTGACCCTAAGTAATTAGGAATTGGCAATATCATTCTAAAAATAACTTTCATGGTTGCCATGGTAACACAATGTAACCAGGCAAAATCCGTTGCTATGATTGGGTTAATGCTACTATCTTGAGGAAATAAATTAAAATCCATGGCTGGCACACATACATCCTTAGGACCTTGCAACACCGACAACATAAGAAAAAATTGGGATTAATTGTTACTTTGCAGTGTAACCATGGAAACAACGTACCAGTTGTTTAAAGTGATATTTTTTTGCTGCTTTAGGAATTTACTTACCTTTTAATCAAGAAACATATTATTTGACTCACCTTGAATAGTACTTATCTGGTAGAACTAAAGTTGAATATCATATATTGATAAAGTTTATTGAAAAATACAACACTGTTGCTATGGTTACCAAGAAGGGAAAATGTTCGAATTTGTTAAATTTTATATCAATATTAAACCCTTTGTACTTTTTGCATCCAGTTAGAGATTGGGTGGTAGTCAAAATTGAAAGTCAAGTTAGTTGTTCGTATATATCAATCATAAAAGTTTTGGGAATCTACATACAAAGATACGTATCCAAGGAAACAGAATATTTTTCAGATCTTTATGCATAATTTTTCGGCTAATTTCCATAGCAACGCTCTATTTAAAGAATTGAATTTGAATTTTTTGAAATGTGAAAATTAGGGTCACACCAACGCCTTTAAAAATGATCATCAGGTATATAGAAATATGCTTTTTAAAAAGATAGGATACGATTAAAACACTAAGAGAGTAAATTTAAAATCCTTTTGTGGTATTAAAACCATGGTAATCATTGCCAACCTGTAAGAAATATCAAATTTCGTCCTTGGTATGTTACAAGGATCTCTTGTCTATTATTTGCTTGCATTTCAACCTATAATTGTTTTTATTCTTAAGTGTATGACTTTATAAAATTAGATGAACAAAATTATTACTTTTAAATACTTTGTTTCCATAGTAACGTATGTAATAGTTGATTTACCAAACATATTTATCATGCATTTTAGACATCAGGCCTTCAACTTTCAGAAACATTCATTGCCACCTGTTTGCTTTGCTGCGAACGTTAACCGTGGGACTCTGAACGTGTTGAAAAATGCCATTTTTCAAACGTTAACCATGACACGTAGCAACCAATTTTTGCCTGATTTGAGTTTACGGTAACAAAGACTTTCATCATAAAGAGTTTGGAGAAATTCTGAGACTATGCGTGCCACAGCTCCTATATAAAAGTTCAAGTCATTACAGAGAATGGCTCTTAATTAAAAAAAAAGATATGTATATGTATATGTATATATATATATATATATATATATATATTTCATTGAAATGTTATATAATTCATAATTGAAAGAAAAAAATATATTTAGAAAAGTTTATATTACCTGTAATTAATCAATTATTTATTGAACAAAATTATAAACAGTGCAAGAAGTCTTACTTTTGTGTTTTAGTTTGTTTGTTTTCAATCGCGCATTTTTCTAAAATGACTCTAGGATATATGGATTCTCTGATATTGGTAACTTATAAATGTTTTAAAATGAAATAGGGAGATAACGAACAGTATTCTAGCTCATAGGTTAGAATTAAAGTTCTGACACTTGAAAGTTTTTTTTTCTCGTTAATTATTCTGTTGAAGAAAAATATGCGATTTTGTAATTTTGACATATATCTCTGTTCATTCATGTCTGACATCATGTAAAAAATGACAACCTATACATTTTCATGTAAATATAAATTTTATATATATATATATATATATATATATATATATATATATATATATATATATATATATATATATATATATCATATTATAAATTATATTAAACCATATTAGGTATAAGTGGAGATTCCTGATTTTTTTTCTACTTTAAACCATAAATATGTGAGGTTATTCTGATTACGTTGTCTAGCAAAAATAAATAAAATTAAATCTAAAGAAACCTAATGTATTTGTAGGAATGAACTCTGTATTGCAAACTGCTGCACCAAAGCTTATAACAAAGTTCTGATTACAAATCATTTTCAGTTGTGACTAAACATAGGCTTTCTGAATCAAATATTCACCCCTGCATCAAACCAGCTGGCAGTCGTGTGACTGAAAAAATAACACTTTTCTTGGAACTGCATCCATCCCAAATGACAACCTTTAAACAAAATTTAAGAAAATCGTTAAAAAAAAAAGAACACAAAAAACCTTCTATTATTACTATTTAAAAACAAAGAACTTGTAACTTACTTTCAAGGGAATCAATAATGAAACCAAATAAAACTATGATAACACATAGAACCTTCATTCTTCTTGAGAATCACACATGTGAAATTAGATAAGATTCTTTCTTAGTCACAGATATTGACTCTTGTTTGTTTAATTGTATACAGTATGAGATGTATATTCATGTAAATTTTAATTTTGTTTTTCAAAAATATGAACTCTTGAAAAAAAATTGCCCTAAATGAATTTTAAGTTATTTACTTAACGGCAAAAAGGAATGTGTAAGGGGATAATCTGAGTGTTCTCAGAAATATTTTAGATATCGTGATAGAGTGTTAGTCGAAATCAGAAAAACAGTAAGTTTACTTTAACGTCCTAACATTTCTTTCAATTGCTCAAAATTGTTTCCGTTGACAAGCCATGCAATACATCAAATTATATAAAGCTACTGACAAATAATCATTTTCATTGCGCAATGCATTGATATTCAATTGAAATAATTTAATTTTGGTGCGTCATTGGATAAAAAATTAGACTATATTATATAACCTGGGTTGCCTACGTCACAATGACTTAGGTCAAAACGTATCAATATTCAAATTATGTACAATTTGAAAGCATTTTTGAAGGAGAAACTGTCTTATTTTCTACACTTAATGATGGAAAATTAAATTATAAGGAATGAATTCAATAGCTACCCCAGTTATTCTGGTATAACCTGGGTTTGAACAGTTTACGCTTTTTTATCAACCGCTTGTCTACGAATTTCTCCATTCAAGATCAAGGGGTGCAACCGGTCAACAAGGTAATACTATGGTTACTTCTTTGTGGCACCTGATACAACCTCTGCTCTAAGTTTGTATCGTTTAATTGATTTTTCGAGCATGATTACTGTTCATTATTTTCATATATTATATTTTCATATAAATAAGTTGAGTCTGATTCGTCGAGAAACACTTGTTAAAAAACACTATTACCCGCTGAATAATGAAGCCACGCCCTCCAGCGTAGCAACAGTTAAAATTGCTTGACGACGGGTGTTATTCCAAAAAATATTGACTGCGCGGAATTCATGCGCGAAAGGTTTACTGTAATATGTATTTGTATAAAACCATCAGTATAATAAAATAAATATTGCATGTAGTTGAGTGTAACATTGAAAATTTTCACCCCTCGAAAACCATTGTCAACCTCGACTGCGCCTCGATTGACAATGGTTTTCTTGGGGTGAAAATTTTCAATGTTACACTCAACTACATGCAGTATTTATATAATATTTGATCACAAGAATTTTGTAAATTGATATTTAATTTTACCATTTTCATCAACTTTTAAAGTAACTAGAGTGTTCCAAGGAACGCATGTATCGCCTGCTTTGTAGTTTCATTAAAGATGAAATAAATCTAAGAGTGGTCAACTATTTATTCAATACTAGCATGATCGTTCATACAATTGCCTGCAAAGAAGAAAAAAGCATCCACAGTATTAGACTGCAATAAAATCTGACGATCAAAGAAAATATGGTTTCTCAACCCTCAAATGAATAATCATTCAGCAGTCTTTCACCGAATACATTCACTGGATTTTATCTTCGAGAAAACGACAGTTTGTCAAAATTTACATTCTACAGAATGAGATATGTCATATGCTCAGTGGCAAAAAATAACCTTAGGACGGACAAGTTGATAGAGTAAAAAAGCATGAATGTGTGACTAAGCGATACTAAGCGATATCCTAACGACGTTAGACCAATATAAACACATTTTTATCATACTACTGTTATATTAAATATGGAAATTTTTTTTGTTCTATTAACCCTGCTTGTTGGTTCTTTACTAATACCTTAACAAAACCAGCTGAGCCGATTCCACATTTAAGGTAGCTACATGTCAATGTAATGATTAAAGTTTCATAACTTCAAAGCTACCGTATATAGTCGGTTTTTTGGGAGTTTAACTTTGGTCCAAAACTCAATGTCCGACTTATAGGCGAGAGGAGACCGAAATGTAGTATTTTTAAACAACTCCAATGATTATCATTTACAGATGTTTGGATGTATTATTTTGTTAATGTACTCTAATAATATGCCTACTAGTTTTTACATATCTTAATATCTTTATTTTATCTTAAGTGTGTATTATTTATTTTGTTAATTATTTACGTACCTAATTCTTTCGATTTTTTTTTTTATAAAATTGAATAAAGAACCCGAATTTGCGATTGTGAAGTATTCATAAATACATACCGTCTTAAATATTTTGATAAAAAGTTTAATAATAATTTGTTAAAAATAAAACACAGTAAAATTGTTGACTCTTTTCATACTCCATTGTTAATGTAATTAATTGTTTTCCATTTACACAGTTGTTTTCTCGAGGCACGTGCCACTACCTAAATAAACACAGTGTCAGGTAAGCGAAAAAAGGTAAATATAAGAGACAGTACGAACGAAAACTTAATCATGATAATTGCTAATAATATATCAAGTGCAACGTTTATAACCAGGAAGATATGGATTAAACATCGATATTTATAAAAATTTGGGCGTCATTTCTCAAAACATAGGTTTAACATTGTTTAACATTAGAACATTGACTTAAAATTGTCAACCGATTCTGGCAAAAAGGTTACACCGACTTAAAAGCAAGTCAATGGCAAATCCCTACAATATCAGCTTAAAAAATACAACCGACTTACTTACAGGCGAGTATATATGGCACTTTGCCAAGATACGTGGTAAGAAAGTGTCATATAGAAGACCAAAAAGAAAACTTAATAAAATTACTTAATGATCCCAGTCTTCTCAAAAGAAAGACCACAGTCTAAGTTCTAGATTCTAAGTCTAGCTCTGTAATGTATCCTCACAAAATGTACCTTCAAATAAAGTGCCATCAAGAAGCATTATCTTGTTTTATTTATTTCATATTTGTGTAGTATTTGTTTGTTGATCGATATAAAATTAATATAATTTAATTCTAAGTTCATGTTTCATCATGTATCCTATCATTTTAAGTCTTGATACAATGACTTGCAGATTTGAATAGTTTGCAAAGTCCAGGAATTTAGATTATTTACAAATAATTGAAATTCATTATAAATCATGCTGAATGCAATAATGTTTTTAAAATATTCTTATTTTCATTACATTGATTTTTATTAGGTCACCTGAGTCACTCAGACCTATTGCTGTTTTCGTCCGTCGTTAACATTTTCAGCTTCTTCTCTGGAACCACTGAACCAATCCCAACCAATTTTGGCATACAGCATACAGGAGTGAAGGCAAACAAAATTTGTGAATTTCATGGTCCCTGCCCTCTCCCCCCGGAGACTGAGGAATGGGGCTTAATCCATCAAAATTAGTTCTATCTTTAAAAAATCTTCCTCTTTACTCCTGAACCGAAGCCGTCAAACTGTTGGCATGATTGTAATAAGCATTGGTTTTTCTACCAAAACTGTGAAATTCATGGCCCCAGAGTCAGGTTCTGGTGCTAGAAGGGGGCTATATGGATCATATAGTGTAAGTGCATTATTTCTTTTAAAATCTTTTCTGCTCCTGGTTACTAAACAGACTAAGTACATAGCTATGATGAGCAAGTATACAGCCAAGTTTCATTACCATGAATAGTTCCTTTACTAGCTTCAAAGATATCTCAAAATTTTCACGCAGTACTACCTTTTGCAAAGATATCTTCGTTTAGTTCACTCTTAATATTATATATTTACCTTCTGCCCCTTCTTAAATCCACCAGTATATCCAAGACTGCGTACATGTGCCCCCCTTCTCCCTTTCGTCCTAACAATATTTGCCAATACAAGTACATGAATATATATATATATATATATATATATATATATATATATATATATATATATATATATATATATATATATATATATATATATATATATATATATATATATACTAAACTATGCAACATTGAAAAGAAAATTAATGTACAGGATTTTTTTCTTGTCAAAGAATTTTGGTATGACGATCCTTATGTTTAACCTATTTTTTTAAGCACCATAGTATCAGTAAATCATGTTGAAGCACCAGCTTATAATGTTGAAGTATCAGCATATATTGACAAAGTATCAGCATATATTGACAAAGTATCAGCATATATTGACAAAGTATCAGCATATATTGACAAAGCATCAGCATATAATGGCAAAGTATCAGCTGATAATGTTAGTATCAGCATATCATGTTAAGCATCAGCATATCATGTCAAAGTATCAGCATATCATGTTAAAGTATAAGCAAATAATGTTGAAGTATCAGCATATAATGTCAAGGTATCAACATATAATGACAAAGTATTAGCATATAATGTTAAAGTTCATGTATTAGCATATCGTGTTAAAGTATCAGCATATAATGTTGAAGTATCAGCATATAATGTTAAAGTATCAGCATATAATGAATGTTCTCCTCATAAGGCAGCGGTGGCGTTCCATATTGAAGGCTCCTTTGTTGTGTTGTAAAGTGCAATTCTTGAAAATGGATAATTTTGCAAATGTTACTTTGACACTAGAATGCGTAAAAACCTGTTTTGATCTATTCTCATATTTCCATATGATCCTTTATAACTCATTGAAACGTTAACAAAAATGTTTAAAAAGTAAATCATGAGGAACGAAGATAAAAGTTTCTCTCTTTCGCCAGAACTTTATTATCTTTTTTTTTTTTTACTTTTAATTAAGATATCTTTCATCCAATGATCTCCGTCTCATGTGACCTACAATTCGAAAAAATGTGTTACTATGAAAGTTCAATGAAATATATGGAGATAATGAACAGTATTCAAGCTCAAAAGTCCATTAAACAATACAAAATAGGAGCAGAACAAACACGGACCTCCAAAACATCAGAGGTGGGATCATGTGCCATGGAATGAGCATCCCCTGCCGACCGGTCACACCCGCAGTGTGCCCCTTGTCATGATCGGGAAATAACGGAAAAATCCGTCGAAAATTTAGTGTGTAAATAATGGCCTAACAATTAGTATGAAAAACGTCAGTCAGCATTTGACTCAATGTTAAATTGTATTTGCTGACAAGGTCATTGTATCGACCATAGAACTTACGAAATGATGACTTTAAACGAGACAGCTGATTTTCTTGTTTCATCAACTTGTTTGTCAATAATCTACCTCGTTTTAGAAATTGTACATACGTAGAGCATGCACTTGCGTATCGAATCAACTGAGAGATATAAACCCCGTATGCAGGTGATGAAGGTATATTGCTGCATAAGTACGGGAAGTTGACGATTGAAAAGTTAAAGTCATCACGTTTATCATAAAGCTTGGTTGTTAGATTACTATTAATGTCTTTTTCAAGTAAAATGTCCAAATATGAAACAGATGTGTCAGACTCTGTGGTATCTTTTATCTCAAGCTCACTGGGATATATCGTATCGACATAAGAATGGAAATAACCATTGTTAATTGACAATACGTCGTCAATATATATAAATGTCGAGTTGAAGACCACAGCAAGTGTTTTCTTCTTTTCACGTATAAGATTTTGAACAAATTCTGCTTCATATGAATACAACAAAAAGGTCTGTATGGAACGCCGGGACTGTCTTATATGAGGATTAAACATTATATGCAGTGTTCTCTTCATTATATGTGGTAATATTTTAATTATATGAAGTAGTTTTTACAGTATATCGTGTGCAACTTCCATTATATACTGTACTTCTTTCATTATATGATGTAGATATGTCATTATATTATGTACATCTATCATTATATGAGGTGTTTTTATCATTATATGAAGTGCTTTTAACATTATATGCGGTAGATCTAACATTATATGCAGTGAACACAACAATATATTATGTACTTCTCACATTTTATACAGTATATTTATCATTATATGTAGTATTTCTGTTATTATGATGATGCTGATCGTTAAATATTATGTCCGGTCCTGTTAGCATTCCGTGCGGTAGATTTTTGCATTTCGTTATGATGTAGACACAGTATTATATGCGGTGCTTTCTTCTTTATGTGTATGATCTTTCGGAAGCTACCTTTTGGAACTCTCTATTAAAAATTGGTTCTTCTTTTTATCGACCTTGAGAACTCCGACCTTTCCTGTTGAATTCAGTACAATAAAAGCATGCGTATATACATTAAAACAATTAATAATTAATTATAATGCTCCGTGAACAGGTTAAAATGATTTTTAAAGATATGAAGTAGGGTAATAGAGTAAAATAAAATCCATGCTATTTCATGGTATGAAGTAACGAGAGAGAGAGAGGGGGGTATGATAGAAATATTTTGGAAGTGGAAAAAAATTTGAGGCATTTTCTATCTTTTTTGTGAACAATATGACATTCAAAAAGATTCATTTCATATATAGGAAAATCAATGTCAAAAAAGATATTTAAAAAAACTAATTGCATTCCTATACCTTCGAGTACGCAGGGCTTTAACAACAACTTACAGAAAACACTATATGTATTTATTTATTTATTTGCTTTTTTAGGGGTGGGATGTGCTAATTTTTCACAATGTAAATTACTCTTTTATCTCTCATTTTATTTGGTAGAGGGGGTTCTACATATATATATATATATATATATACGTTGTATTACTGAGTAATTTTGCCACATATCTTTTTAGAATTAAAATCTTGAAGTACAACCCACGACTCAATACATTTTCTGTTCTGAAAATCGTGTATCTTTTCCAGATATATTACATAACATTCACATAGTACAACTAAAGACAATATCAGCATTTTTTTTATAGGCCATAGTCTAACAATTAAAACAATGGAACAATAAAATTATTTCAGTAATAAGTGCATCTCTCTCTCTCTCTCGTTGTAAACTACTGAAGTATTGATATGACTTCGAAATTCCTGTAATATAGGGATAAATATTGTGTGGTATGTGATTATTCCGCGATGCTTTGGCTGACCTGTGGTTGATTACCAATTATTAAAGATAACCCAAAATCATTAAGAATTTTCATATCTAAGAACGAAAAAAAAGGTAGAACTTTGTAAATCTAACAAGGGGGGTTCCGAAAGGTAGCTTCCGAAAGATCATACACATAAAGAAGAAAGCACCGCATATAATACTGTGTCTACATCATAACGAAATGCAAAAATCTACCGCACGGAATGCTAACAGGACCGGACATAATATTTAACGATCAGCATCATCATAATAACAGAAATACTACATATAATGATGAATATACTGTATATAATGTGAGAAGTACATAATATATTGTTGTGTTCACTGCATATAATGTTAGATCTACCGCATATAATGTTAAAAGCACTTCATATAATGATAAAATCACCTCATATAATGATAGATGTACATAATATAATGACATATCTACATCATATAATGAAAGAAGTACTGTATATAATGGAAGTTGCACACGATATACTGTAAAAACTACTTCATATAATTAAAATAGTACCACATATAATGAAGAGAACACTGCATATAATGTTTAATTCTCATATAAGACAGTCCCGGCGTTCCATAGGTCTGCTAATAACGGGGCGCAGTTGGTACCCATTGGTACCCATGGGAATTCCAATAGATTGTTGGAAGACCTGGTCTCCAAAAACCACATAGATATTGTCAATCAGAAACTCAAGCATCTTTATAATGTCAACTTCAAAGTACTTGTGTGTACAATCAAAATGTTTTTTAACAAAATAATTTTGCAAATGACCAATTAATGACAAGGTAAGTAAATTTACGAGTTCCATTTTTATTGAAAAAGCAGCTTTCAATGATATCAGAAAGCCTGGACTTTAATTTATCGTAGGGAATGGTTGTGGATAAAGTTGAAAAGTCGTAAGATTTTAAGCTGTTGATTTTGGTAAGATCTTGTGATTTCAAATTTTCCAAAAGTTCCTTGGAATAAAAGTATATATATCACAAAAATAGCACCAATAAAGATTCATAACAAATGCATGAAGCAAAATTCATTTACATATATATATATATATATATATATATATATATATATATATATATATATATATATATATATATATATATATATATATATATATATACTTCTTTTTTCTTTAATATACAATATTCAAAAACACATGAGAAATGAACAGCTTACCTTATGTCTGTTTCACAGATGAATTTATTTGGTTTTGAGCAATAATAATCCCCCCACAGTCCATGATAGGCCTCCCACAAAATGAGACAATTTCCAGTAATATGTTCATTGGGTTCCCCTGGGTAAAATTGATTAATGGTTACGACACTCTGATCAGAAGAATATTCCCATCTGTCTTCCACTATGATGTCAGATATGCCAATCCAGAAGTTGCCTCCTGTTGTCAAATTAAATATTTCATGATTATTATCGTATTATGTGCCTATAGACATCTTTAAAATAAATTTAAACAAATTAAAACAAATTTACAATGACCAGTTCATTTCTATTCGATTCTGTATGCCGTTCATTACATGCCGTTGCTCCTCCGTAAGACAGATTTGTTGACGCCAGAAAATTCTAAATATGAATGGCAACAACATCCAAGAAATTTTATGAATGTTTTTTTTTTCACTCAAAAATGCTTATACTGAATAACCGGTATAACCGACTTTTTAAAACTTCTAAAAATTATTTAAAAATATGACCTAAAACAAATTTTTAGAGGAGCAGAGCATTGATTTTGTGACTAGATGCTGGGTATATTAGCAAGAGAGGAAAATCAATATCTGCAGCGTGCTCCTGTCCATATAGCGCTACCTTGTAAAAGCTAACGTATAGTTCTTTACGCAATATTTATCTGTATCTCGATTCAAACTTCTAGAGATCTACAAGAAAATTCACAACTTTGACTTACTAGAGGTCGCTAAACATCATACATGTAGTTATTTGCGCAGTCGTGCTGAGAAAATATGTGCTATTTGTCGTGATGTTTTGTACGCATGCTTTGTAAACATATTAGTGTACATTTCTAGCAGCCAAGAGAGAGAAATTATTTCGAGATTAATGTTTGCTTATTGTTTAATGATGAGCATGCACTGTTTTGAAGTACCTGTATTATGCAGTATAGTGCACTTCTTGAAACTGGATTATTTTGCAACTGTTAATTTTATTATTATACACGTAAACTAAGGTAAAAAATTTGAAGATATTTTTAATATGAACTTTGAGGAATGATATTGATTTATCTTCTTGTCGCTGTAAAGAAAAAAAATTATAAAAAGTTGTCCTCTGCCAAAATTATTCGTAAAACATGATGAAAATATAGTTTTGATCATTTCACCGGCAATTTGTATCACAAATATTGCTTTACCTTGGCCTTGACTGTGACCGATCAAAAATTTCGATTCAGTTTCACTTCTTGGCTCAGCTAGAATTGAGTTGAATACTCGACAAACACTCTGAAAGCCAAAGTTGAATAGGAATTAAAAAACAAATAAGATGAGCTATTTAATGTTTCGTTCGTTGTTCTGCAATTCTTATTAGTTTTGTCAATGAGTACCCGGTAAACCGGTTAAGCGTCGAACGATGCAAGTATTGGTTTGTCCTCTACACTGTTACTCGGATTTAATGTATTTTAGTCTAGAGCAAACGAATTGATTAATTAACATTTTCAATTATCAAAGAGCTCTATACTGTTTCCTGTTTTATTGTCTTTGAAAGACAAATGGTAGCGTCTTGTTTTGATTGGTTCTCACATTGTAACAAAATAATGGATTTGGATGCCAAGGGGAACATCTGAGTTATAATTACCACAATTACTGATTTAAAATGTACAAATACAGTCGGCTCTGCGGGATTAAACAAGAAACCGCTACGGACATCGAAAGCGATTATATTTTTTGTCTCTGCTTTCACTGAAAGTGGGGGATATTAATTTGGGTCTGTCTGTCCGTCCGTCCGTCTGTATTTCTGTATGTCTGTAACACTTTCGTTTCCGCGCGATATCTCGAGAACCCCTTGAGCTTTCGCAAGGAAATTTTGCACGACAACTCCCTATGGCCTAAAGAAGAACCCTATTGATTTTGAGGTCAAAAGGTCAAGGTCATAAATTCTGTCTGTTTTAACACTTTCGTTTCCGGGCGATATCTCGAGAATCATTTGAGCTTTTGCAATGAAATTTTACTTATCAACTCCCTGTGGCCTTAGGAAGACCCCTATTGATTTTGAGGTCAAAAGATCAAAGTTCAAGGTCGTAAACTCATACATTCCGTCTGTGTGTAACACTTTCGTTTCCGGGCGATATCTCAAGAAGCTTTTGAGCTTTTGCAATGAAATTTTATACCAAAACTCCCTAGGGCCTGTCTCGCCCCTCTCAAAGTGTCCCGCCCCGTTTTTTTTTTTTTTTTTTTTTTTTTTTTTTTTTTTTTTTTTTTTTTTTTGGGGGGGGGGGGTGTTTTTATTATCATTATTTATTGTATTAAAAGTCGCTTGGCACTATTTTTAGCACTGGGGCATGTGGAGAGTTATTACATATATTACAGGTTGTTGGCGGACTTTATGTACTTATTACATCTATTAGAACTGTTTAGTAAAGGCTAAATTAGACACCATGTATTGTGTAAAATTTTGACAATATCGAACGTGAATATAAACATTATATGTGATCTGATGTTTGAATTTAACTTTCCGTAGAATGAAGTGCCTCTGTGGTCTAGGGGTATGATTCTCGCTTTGTATGTGAGAGGTGCCGGGTTCAAATCCCGAAGAACTTTTTTTTTTTGGAATTTTTTTTTTTACTAAATGATAGTATCCAGCATGTGAAATGAAAAAGTTATGACGTCTGGCTTGTACAAACTCATAAAATCATTATTAGAGTGTCATAAATATTCTATATAAAAGAATCTTCTATACACATATTAAAGAATAAGCAATCAAATCTTCATATCCATATTGGCATTTTTTATTTCCTTCAATATACATGTATACATTTAATAATTCTACAAATCCAGGGGGCGGGGGGGGGGGGGGGAGTCCGACCCTCCCCCCCCCCTGAACTGCGCATGCTCTTCTTTTTTCCCTAAGCGGGGGACACAAATTCTCTGAATTAGCTTGTCAAGCATTATAATGAACAACAAACATATAGCCAGTGCCCAAGTGAGAATCGAATGACAAATTAAGTTTTTGAATTTCATAGCATGTTTACTATCTTTTTGACTATGATCCATTATATGATTATTCTACAGTATTCGTAAATTTAAGAAAAAATAACTCAAGAAACTGTGTTCTTGTATATACATGCAAAAAATATTGACATTGTAACAATTTAAAGAAAATTTAGGAGATAAAATACAGTAATATTTGTTTCTGAAAATATACAAGTATACCTTGATCAATGTTGAAAGGAGTTCTCTAAGAAAAAAAAGAAAACGTACGAGCAAACAGATGCTCAACCGGAAAAATAAGCGGTTAACGGGATACAAAAAATCCTCCGATTTGACAACATTACTATGTCACTTGATACTCACTGCGGCATCCGACCAGGTTTCAGTTGTATGGCTGAACAGGTAACATTTGTTTTGAAACTGAACCCAGCCCACGTTGCAACCTTTGAAAGTAAACAATTAGTAATATTTATTTTAAATGAGAACATTAGTATCTTTCTTTCAAAGACAAAAACTAATATCACTTAACCTAGTTGTGAATCTTTTTCAACTATTCTACAACTAGTTCGTCATAACTTTTATTTCACGTGTTTAATTATTTTTCTTCAAATTTATTTTAGAGCATAAAATTAATTTACATTTTTTAAACAATGAAAGCATCTACTTACAGTGACTGCAAGAAACCAACGTGAAAAATAAAACAGACAACAAATCCATGATTGTCTGCAAAAGAAAGATAAGATACACTTTCCGACCATATCATTAGAGAGAGACCTCATTCTTGACACGAATATGTATTTATTTATTTATTCATTATTAGACTGCCTAAAATCGACCAAAAAAAAACAGGCTGAAATCTATGTAATATGGTCTGGAGATTGTATAGTATGTTCCACGGTACCAACGTCATCACTTCTGCATCTTATGTCGAAATACATAATTCCTTGGAACAAGTCCTTTGCTTTGTAAGGAGTCTCTTGACAACAATTTCAAAGATGTTAAAATCTAAACAATTTCAATAGTCCTCTGCAGGAATAATTCGAGTCATCAAATTCAAAACTTCAAGACACTCATATTTGTTTATTATTTATTTTCTGTTAGTTTCACTGGTTTTAAGGACTTTTTATAGTCGTCTTGCCTGAAGCAGTTCTTTAAATTGTATAGATTCCTAATTGTTATATGAACATCAAAAATATGTTAAGCCTGTTTGGGTCTACTCTTTATAGTAATTTCCAAATTATCGTTAACAGTTTTCATTGAAATGTTATTCACTAAAAAACAGGACTTGAAACACCTCGGTCACAAAGAACCCTCACGACGAGTGGGGTCTGTCAGCTAACATCCGCAACTGTACTCGGCAGTGCTGGTACCGGACATCCATGACTGTACCTGCTCACTAATATCAAAAACGGAATGTCAGAGCAAGATTTTCCGGATTGTTCAATATATTAAACTATATGTTTTTAATTAAGTATGGATTGTTTTTTAATGAAAAATACGAAATGTGTTAATATGGAGGAAAGAAAATTTCTGATTTTAAATAAATCTACTTTATGGAAGGCTGTAATAGCCAAAACGGTAACGATAACTGGCTTAGTGAATATATCGCGGAAAATATATGTAAACTTGACTATGCCTAAATTTTGTATATCTATGACTGTATACCTGTGCCTGATATACACCATCTGCGACTGTACCTGTGCCGTACATACACACTACCACTGACTCAACCCGCGCTTGATTAATAACATCCACGACAAAAAATTCTGTGGATTTTCTCCGATTTAAATTTAGAATGAATTCAATCAAAGCGCAATTAACGCTAATCTTTATATTACCCATGACAGTGATACCGAGACAAACGATGTCAGCAGTGATTAGGGAAAGATCCAAAACTTTTACAGCTTTATGTTCAGAGTACAATATGAGCCAGGTCTTTAATTTTTTTTTTTTTTGGGGGGGGGGGGGGGGGGCTGAGGGCATGATTTCAATATCCTACGTGCTCAATAATAATGATGAATTTAAAATGAAACATCCTAGTATAATTATAGAAAATATACGAGTAAACAATAAACAAAGTAAAATAAAAAAGGAAATTAAAATACATATTGAAATTAATTTGTAATCCTTAATTTTATGTTAGAAAGTATAAGTACGTCACAATATTATTAATTTCACCCATTTTATTGATCACGCAAGTGGTGTCAATGAAAAGCACAGGTTTTTTTCCCATATATATACATTTGTATGTCTTACGATATATACGGGTGGAATGGGCTGATCCACCCGTTTTCAATGAGTTATATATAAACATCTCAAGTGCACCCCAGGAAATAGCCTCCAATGCCCTGAAAAAGAATAGTTCCTGACAAAAAAAATTATTTATTTACAAAGTACATAAAATTTACTAGGCACAGGTATCAAAGTTGTAAAAATAAGCTGGAAGAACCCCCCCCCCCCCCCAAAAAAAAAAAATTCTCAAAAGAAATAAAAAATAATTTTATATGCATTGAACAATTAACATCATGACTGGTCGATAACCGTGGCGTGATACCTGAAATATGTAGGGTATGGTATTAAAATAATTGCTCATATTAAAGGAAAGTAATGCTATAATTATCGATAACATCCGAAGAAAATATTTGTATAAGTAAATATTCTTATTAGATCCGCCTCTCTAAGATTCTGCAATCAGTTGTCTGGAATCAATCTATAGGGAATATCGGTGAAAAGCGTTAATAGCACCTTTATAAAAACGTAAGGAATTTCTTGGGATGCAACATCAACAACTGTACCTGTCCTGACAACTGTACCGGTGTCTGATTGACAACATCCACGACTGTACCTGTCCAGTACACACACTTTATTCTAGATCCATGACTGTGCCTGTGCTTATAAACAACATCCATGACTGTACCTGTCCAGTACACACACTTTATTCTAGATCCATGACTGTGCCTGTGCTTATAAACAACATCCATGACTGTACCTGTCCAGTACACACACTTTATTCTAGATCCATGACTGTACCTGTGCCTTATAAACAACATCCACGACTGTACCTGTCCAGTACACACACTTTATTCTACATCCATAACTGTACCTGTGCCTTATAAACAACATCCACGACTGTACCTGTGCATATATACACACTTTATTCTACATCCATAACTGTACCTGTGCCTTATAAACAACATCCATGACTGTACCTGTGCATATATACACACTTTATTCTACATCCATGACTGTACCTGTGCCTTATAAACAACATCCACGACTGTACCTGTGCAGTACACACACTTTATTCTACATCCCTGACTGTACCTGTGCCTTATAAACAACATCCACGACTGTACCTGTGCAGTACACACACTTTATTCTACATCCATAACTGTACCTGTGCCTTATAAACAACATCCACGACTGTACCTGTGCATATATACACACTTTATTCTACATCCATAACTGTACCTGTGCCTTATAAACAACATCCATGACTGTACCTGTGCATATATACACACTTTATTCTACATCCATGACTGTACCTGTGCCTTATAAACAACATCAACGACTGTATCTGTCCAGTACACACATCTTACTCTACATCCCTGACTGTACCTGTGCCTTATAAACAACATCAACGACTGTACCTGTCCAGTACACACACTTTATTCTACATCCATGACTGTACCTGTGCCTTATAAACAACATCCACGACTGTACCTGTGCATATATACATACTTTATTCTACATCCATGACTGTACCTGTGCCTTATAAACAACATCCACGACTGTACCTGTCCAGTACACACACTTTATTCTACATCCCTGACTGTACCTGTGCCTTATAAACAACATCCACGACTGTACCTGTCCAGTACACACATCTTACGATACATCCATGACTGTACCTGTGCCTTATAAACAACATCCACGACTGTACCTGTGCAGTATACACATCTTACTCTACATCCATGACTGTACCTGTGCCTTATAAACAATATCCACGACTGTACCTGTGCAGTACACACACTTTATTCTACATCCCTGACTGTACCTGTGCCTTATAAACAACATCCACGACTGTACCTGTCCAGTACACACACTTTATTCTACATCCATAACTGTACCTGTGCCTTATAAACAACATCCACGACCGTACCTGTGCATATATACACACTTTATTCTACATCCATAACTGTACCTGTGCCTTATAAACAACATCCACGACTGTACCTGTGCATATATACACACTTTATTCTACATCCATGACTGTACCTGTGCCTTATAAACAACATCCACGACTGTATCTGTCCAGTACACACATCTTACTCTACATCCCTGACTGTACCTGTGCCTTTTAAACAACATCCACGACTGTACCTGTCCAGTACACACACTTTATTCTACATCCATGACTGTACCTGTGCCTTATAAACAACATCCACGACTGTACCTGTGCATATATACATACTTTATTCTACATCCATGACTGTACCTGTGCCTTATAAACAACATCCACGACTGTACCTGTCCAGTACACACACTTTATTCTACATCCATAACTGTACCTGTGCCTTATAAACAACATCCACGACCGTACCTGTGCATATATACACACTTTATTCTACATCCATAACTGTACCTGTGCCTTATAAACAACATCCACGACTGTACCTGTGCATATATACACACTTTATTCTACATCCATGACTGTACCTGTGCCTTATAAACAACATCCACGACTGTATCTGTTCAGTACACACATCTTACTCTACATCCCTGACTGTACCTGTGCCTTATAAACAACATCCACGACTGTACCTGTCCAGTACACACACTTTATTCTACATCCATGACTGTACCTGTGCCTTATAAACAACATCCACGACTGTACCTGTGCATATATACATACTTTATTCTACATCCATGACTGTACCTGTGCCTTATAAACAACATCCACGACTGTACCTGTCCAGTACACACACTTTATTCTACATCCCTGACTGTACCTGTGCCTTATAAACAACATCCACAACTGTACCTGTCCAGTACACACACTTTATTCTACATCCCTGACTGTACCTGTGCCTTATAAACAACATCCACGACTGTACCTGTGCAGTACACACACTTTATTCTACATCCCTGACTGTACCTGTGCCTTATAAACAACATCCTCGACTGTACCTGTGCAGTACACACACTTTATTCTACATCCATGACTGTACCTGTGCCTTATAAACAACATCCACGACTGTACCTGTGCAGTACACACACTTTATTCTACATCCATGACTGTACCTGTGCCTTATAAACAACATCCACAACTGTACCTGCGTATGACACACACTACATCTATGACTACCTATGCCTTATAATCAAGATTTACACACAATAAACTTCTCAGGGTTTAAGAGGTACGTATTGTATACTGTATTTGGACCATCCTACCATAAAAAACAACAATATTTAAACAATTTTCTTTCACTCACAAATTTTGATCTTTAAGTGTGTACTTGACTCTTGAAATTTGACCATGAAAATCAATTAGAATCAAGTTCGAGACACAATTAATCATCAGTGTACAGGTGGAAAACTCAAATCTATAAGTCAACATATAGCCAATTACTATTATTAATTTTAATAAACATTTGTCGTATACGTTTGACG